ACATCACATCCGTCACATTTCATATATTCAATTTTGTTTTTGTTTTTATTTTTGATGTCCACATCTATATGGTCCACCCTTTGTTGAATTTTTGTTACTCTCACCATAATGCATCCACGCTTCATTAATTCTTTAAGCTTTTAGTCATATCAACTTTTTGTCGTTTCCTAACCTGAACTATACATATTGATGAATATTGTGATCCATATACATTTGTAGGTCATCATCATTAATATTATAACTTCGTACCCAATTAAAATAATAATATTCCAAACTAGTAGACTTTTTATTCCTTCTTACACGTTTATGGGGAATCTTGTAATTGAAACTCATCAATTTGATCATCCTATTAATTATTCATGGAATATATAAATATATATATATTTCTCTGTATAGAAAGTTTTTTTTTTTTCCAATAGTCTAACAAAGCAAAAGACCCACTAGTGTAATGATTTGTAAAAATCCTGAGTTCGAGTTCTAATATCTGTGTAGTGTGTGTGAGTTTAGCCACTATTAAATCCAAAGAAGAAAACGAAAGAAATTAAAGCCACTATTTTATAATTACAAGGAATTAATGGACTATTTAATCAATAATTACCAGGCCTGCAGACGTTGACTAATGGAGAGAAAGAAAACTAGCAATAGCGTAGTTAACCATTATTTAATTAATTTACCCAGTAAGCAGTGGTGAAGCCAGCAATCCCGGAAGAAAGATGAATGACATAACCACCGGAATAGTCCATTACACCCCAATGGAACAAGAACCCTCCACCCCACAAGCTGAACGCTCCGACCGTGTACGAAAATGTAAGCCAAAGCGGCACGAACATCATCCACGCCTTGAAGTTCATCCTCCCAAGCACCGACCCCGCCAGCAATATCAGCGTAATGGCTGCGAACACGCACTGAAACCACACCATGGTCGCCATCGGGTACCAGGGTGTGGCCTCAGGAGTCTCCACAGTCTTGTGGTCACTAAAGTAGTGCGTGCTCGCAGGCAGAGCTGCCTGGTTGATGAGGAACTTCTGGCCCAAGGCAGGGCCAGCTTTGCCCCAGAAGGGTAGGAGCTTGTCCCCAAACGACATCTTGTAAGCCCACGACACCCAGCAGATTACGACGGCCGCAAAAGCGTAGAGAGCCATGAAAGCTGAGTTCACTGCCCATTTCTTTTTTACTATGCTTCCGTACAGGATGACAAGACCCGGCACGCTTTGGAGGCCGACGAGTGTGGCTGCTACCATTTGCCATGCGTTGTCCCCTTTGTTCAACCATACTGGCACCGCGCCGGCACCTCCCTGGTACGCAAC